AATCTATTTTTACCCAGCTCTGTTCTAATATCGTTCACTAGCTCTTCAAGTGCTTTGGTCCAAAGCCTGAATGAACAGGTGTAAGAACATTATCTGACCAAATATGAACTCATGTATTTTATATATTGTACATGCTCACACTTTTATTTATAAAATGAGTTCACTGACCCTGGCATTTTACTTGCACTGTTTCTGTCTTGTCTGTTGAAATCTGAAATGATAGAAACCTGTATCTTCTAAACCTTCATGACAACAAGCAGAAGTAAAAATTCAGTGAAAGATGAGAGGTTTTTTTCCTCTCAGCTGAGGTAGTGAACTGAACGTAAAGTTTATTTTTTGTCTTTTAGTCTTCAGGAGTAAACCAAAACTGTTGTTTGCAACTTTTTGTTTTGGTCTATGTTGCATGTTATGTTTTTTTGTTGTTTTTGGTGTTTTTTTTTTTTTTTTTTTTAATTTTTACCTACCAAAACTACAGAGAGATATAAGGAAACTTTTTAATGCTCTGTATTTTTTCAGAAGAAAGTAAGATACAAGCAGAATGTTCATGTTTTTAAGCACACTGTGTGGAGATGTCTGATTATTTTTCCAAAGATTTTGGAAGGAAATACTTAAAGCGTTCTGTACTCTGTAGAGATCTTTGCACTTCATGTATGGTCTTTGTTTAATGAAAGCTTGGGAATTTCATGTCTGTACCTTTCTTTTCCTGCATGGCTCAGGGTGCCTTAAGCTACTAACAGTTATTCAAAGGTTTGTAGTAAGACACAAAGAAATTACATATAGTCAAAAGGCAGACCCACTGGAAATGTAACAGGTCATGTAACTTTTAGACATACTAGGATCAAATTACTATCTTAAAATGTGTACTTTTTACAATGTTTTTTACAAGGATCTGATAGCAGAGTAGCAGTATAACATTGGCAAGCAAGTCTGCTGCTTGTTTGCAGGTGGCTCATAGCTACCATATGCATAAGGGTGGAATTTTTAGCAAGTATTTTTAGCAAAGTCTGTGTGTGAAAGTTGGAGCTGACCACCCTTTCCGTGTAACCAGGGCCAATATTTTTCACTGAAGCAAGGTTAAAATTATGGAACTAACTGATGTTTATTCAAGCCAATAATCTAATTGAAAGCACTAAACCTGTATATTAGTATGATTCCAGGAGAGACAGATAGCATTGCATGTTGTTAAGTCTCACAGTCCTGGTATGGCTCTGTGTATCATTGGCTCATAACTTTGAGAAACTTTAACAGTTTTGGCTGTACTTTTCTATTGCTGATGTCTCCTTGAGGTGGAAACCTTTGACAGATAGCAGCCAAGTGATTGAGGAATTTCTGAAAGGAATGTTAAGGGAAGAATAGATTGCTTTATTCCTTAAAAATATTCTTGAAAGATTATCTCTGCAGTGTTGTAGTGTGGCCTTGGATTTGGGGAGAATGAGAGAAGGAATGGTAGGCAGCTGGATGACAAAGAGGAAAGAGTCATGGAGACAGGGCAAGAAGAGGGAAAGAGTGAAAAGGGAAGCTGGCACTGGAGAGAAAAACAACTGAGATAGTTGTAAGCTGAGACTTTGGTGGGCAAAAAAGAGGACAGGTAGCCACAGGGGTGTAGAGTAGAGTTCACATATCAAAGTCAAGGATGGAAGCTGCTTGGGAGAAACACCGAGAGACAGATTGGGCAGGGTTGTTTAAGACAAGGCAGGAACAAAATAGCTGGTACACATCTGAACAAGAAACTCGGAAGATATTCCATGTGGGATTTGTTGGGAGACTGTGTTCGGAGAACAGTAACCTTGGAGGGAAGGCAAAGAAAGAGAGCTGAGACTGGCTTAGCAAGGACGGTGGGACAGATATAAGAGACTTGCTGGAGAAAGAAGAGGACACAGACAGATGGGCAAAAGGGATTGGCCTATGACCGGGAGCTGCTGTTACAGAAAGCCTTATGCATACACAGGGACAGACAGGAAGGCCTGGGTATTGTGAACAAAATCCAAAAAAAGTGGGTGAGAGTTCTACCTGTCAGAACACATTTTTCTGGGATGGAACCCGCTATTCCTAAATTACCTTTCCTATCAGCCAGTAATGGTAGTAAATGTCACCTGAAAAAGCAAATGGCTTGCAACAACTTCTGCTGGTTTACTGGCAGGAAGGCAGCTTGTCTGGCTCAGGGACAGAGACCTGTGCTTTGGGTCCAGAAGTCTTGGCTTGTGGATATATGATAGACACCTGTGACAGGCAGAAGTTGGTGTAATGATTTAGTTCTGTTCTTTCCAGGCTGTGATTTGATAAGTGTCTAGGAAATGATACACAAAATGGTACTTCTTAGATTGTAAAACTGAATAATTCAAAGTTACTAAGTAGCTACAAGAGTCTGCCCTGAAATCAGTGATTAATTTCATAATACACTCTTTCTCTTGTCTTTCCCTACTGAATTTATTCTGTAATACTCCCATGACATGCTTTTGTATCCTCTCTTTGTTATCTGCACTAATTTATGATTGACATGCCCAGTACTCTGATGAGTACTCAATGTTTAGTACTGCTGATACTCAAAGTAAATCATCTATATAAATCAACTACAAGATGACTCTTTAGCTGTGCTTCAAATTGCAACCCACAATCTCAAGCCACATATGGGAAGATGAGGAATATGCAGTTGCTAAAAAACAGTGAAAAGTGTGATTTAAATGGCTTGGCTGGCACTGCAGAAGTACTCTGGCAAAAAGCCACATTCATTTGTTTTCATTGTGACATGTTCTGTTTTCTTCAAGTTCACCTTTAAACACTTGCCAGTTTTTGCAACAAATGATATAAAGGGGAAAAAAGAGTGCCCAGAAAGTGTAGCCTTCATCACTAAGTTGTCTGGATTTTGTCCCAGAGGAAAGCCATGTAGTAAACTGACTAAGGCAAGGGCCCCAAAAAACCGGTATGTAATAATATATTTTTAGGCCTTAACTCAGTGTACACTGATAATCCTTAGCACAACATCATGTCATAAACTCAGGTGCTTTTGGAGCTTGGCAGAGACTTAGAAAAACACGCTTAAAGTTTTGACTTCAGATTTTTGTGAAAACCAGGCCATGCCCTATAAGGTGTGCTGTGCTGCTACTGCTGCTGGAGGATTGGAACAAAAAGTAATGACATGAGTCTCTGCTTTTATTTTACAAGTGCATTTTTAAATGTAAATGTACTCAGAAAAAACGTACTCTCTACCTGACACCAGATTTAATTTGTATTAAATTTGTATTAAATTATGTAATAAATATTTTCATTTATAAATAATTTATAAATACATTATTTAATTTATTTTTTATTTATAACGTTCATTCTTATGTTAAATGTGTTCAATTTACCTAGCCCAATGACTACTGCCTCTGCTTCTAATCCAGCAAATTCAATGTGGACCATACAAAATTAAACAATAATCTTACAGGACCATTCCAAGCTGGGTTTTATAAGGGTGGACAACTGCTGGTAGAGCAAGCATGTTGGCTTGTGTATTTGCTCACATGTGTTCCTCTGGGAATCTGGATTATTCACATGCTATTGTTATGCATGACTCATTCGACCCGATGAGCCACATGTGGCTGGGTTTGTGCACAAATAGGAATTCTGCTCAGCACCTGAGGAAAGCATGCTTTTCCTCAGCACGTTCCCAAGTCTTGCTCCAATGAGCAATCTACTCCTGCCTGTGGCATGATAGCAGTTTTTGGCTTTCTCCTATGAGTTGATGGCAGTGGGAAGATTAGCAATCTCTCCCATGCTGTTCTTGTGGAGGTGAGGTCCAGCCTGGCCACTGTCAGGAACTGTAAGTTCTGCAGTCAGAATCATGGCAGTTGGCCTGTTAGAGTAGGCAGAAGATTAGAAATAAGTTTTCTCCCCTCCAACTGATTCATCTCTGCCATTTCACCAAATGTAACATTTTATGAATGTCAATTAAACTATGAAATAACCCCAGAACACCCTCAAAGCAGACAAGCAGAGTAATCAGGTATGCATGACGTTTTGTAGAGTCACTTCAGTACCTCTAACTGTACTTTAGAAGAGGAACACCTGAGGGAAAGTCATTAAGAAATTACAGTTATATAGATAAATGTCATGCCTTGTTTTAAAATGTGCAGCACATAGCAAAGAGGTGCTGAATTGCTATATTAGAATGGCCAGCACTGTCTGCTCAGGGCAGGAGGGTACAGAGAATTTTTTTCAGTAGTTAATTTGTAAAAGTTTTGTACTTTTAAAGGAGAGGGTAGAGATTTGAATGTAGAAGGGAATTAGTTTAAAGAGGCAAATCAGAAATAGAGGATCAAGCCACAGGACTAAGAGGTCCCAGGAGAGAAATAGGAGTGAGTGAGGAGTATAGGAACCTCGGCAGGGTTTAAAACAGGACAACAGATTTATGGACACTACCTTTTTTTTTTTTTCTCTTGGAGGTGCTGATATCTGGTTGGTGTTTCTGAGACTATTAACAATAACTACCTTCCTCAGACTCTCCAGCAATGGCTCATAAACTTCCTGGGATCTGTAACCCTCTTGTTGAAAATTACTGGTTTGCATTAAGAGGGTAAGTGTTTAATGTTAACAGCAACATGCTGGTTTAGGTGGAAGAGCCTAATCCAGATATTAAAACAACATTCAGTCCTGAAGGAAAGAAACTGGCTTTCACTTTTAACTCACCTGCTTTCAGGTACTACATTTCAGGAAAGTGTTTGAATACAGCTTTGGGATGCACGGGTTAAAACATATTCCCAAGGCGTAGGCTTTCATCATAACAATGAGAAAACTTACAGCCAGAAGTGCTTTGATAAAGTAATACCAAATGCAGAATTACCTCTGTTATCTTCCAGTGAAATCCCTGCACTGGGAGAAGTTTGATCATTTGCTAAGAAGGTGCTTACTCTGTAATTGTTTCCCAATCATTGAATGTTTGGGTGGGAATTTACCCTATCAATGTATTTTTATCTCAGATGCCACATTACATTTGTAATGTGATACACCTGTATCTTTAGCAGAGCTGGTTGCTGCTTCATTGCTTTTCCTGCCAATGATTCTGCTGTTCCTGTGTCTTTCCATGGTTTAAGAAAGACCTCTCCCTTAAGTGAGACTATGAACAATGACTACACTTCAGAAAAGCAGGTAACAAATCAACAAGTACTCGGTGGAGGACAATGATATTTCTTTCTTCAGATATTATTTCAGTATTTTTCTTCTTCATTGCCAATTTTATTCTTCTGTAATTTCATAAGTACCTTGTAGAAATGAACAGAGACTTCACATGTCCCATGGGCATTCTGCCTGACCATGTAAAGAATGTTCACTATCACTCAGATATTTGAAAATAACAGGAAACCTTGTACAGATCCTCATTAATATGCAATAAAATGGACTGGCTTCTTATCTTGGAGATACAGACCACTCTTCCCTGTAATAGAGAATATCTGCAATAAAGAGACAAAGAAAATGATGTGCTTGTAAGAGCAGCAGTATATTTGCCATAACCAGAATTGCTCTGAGGAAGTGGTGCCTGTGCTTTTGGCCTGGACAGTCGCATAACTTCTGATAGCTGTGTGATAAGGAAAGGTGTGACCCTTCCGCTGCCAGATAAGTGATATATATCACATTCTCAAGATCTACCTGCCCTGTTATTTAGCTGTCACACATCCAGGTACATGTGAAATGAGTCATCACTGAATGCTGTATGTGTTTTCCTCAGAGGTTTACTCTGTCCTATGTTCACTGCACAATGTCATATGGCCAGAGGTCACAAATCAGTCTTGGCAGACACATATACACAGTTATACCATGCATCGTTCTTATGGTGGTGGGACTTGCCTTTGGGCTATAGATGAGATGAAGGCAAGTGCAAGGTCTGCGAGACACTCAGAAGAAGTGATTGGTTCAGGCTGCCCAGGTGATCACCTGGTTTGTGGCTTGCTGCCTCTCCACGCTTCAGGGACACTGTGGAAGATGGTGATAAGTGTGAGCTGTGGCCTGGATGAACTGCTTGGTGTGCTGTATTCACCTCATGAGCTTACCACCCCTGCACTGAAACCACTCTGACTCACTAGCTAAAATTTCATCCATTGATGTAATTAAAAAGTAATAAGAATTGAAGCAAGGCGAATGAGACTTTTTAATAATCTCGGTGGATATCTCTAAATCAGAAACATAGAAATAATTTTATTTTAGAATAAGTAGACCTTATTAAATTGAAGTTTCAAAAGTGACTAGGTTTTGAAAGCATAACAAGGTGGGTTTAATCAAACTCCAAATTCCAAAGAAAAGGTCACAACTTGTTATCAAACACATGAAGTCTTAACATTTTTTCTCATGTTAGGAGTGCAAAGAGATGTTTTGAAGGAGTATTACTGATCTAAATCCCCAATTTCACTTTGTTGTTGTGGAAAAAGACTACACATGTATCGAAACCTGAAAAGCATACAGGGTTTGAGCTGATGTGTGGATGCTGGACTCTTGTGATTTGATCTCGGTCATGTTGGAAAATAATGTATCAGAAACTGGGAAAGACATACTTATGTAGTACAATTCAGCATGAAACCTTATCAGCCGACAGGTTCATCTGGGAAACTGAGTATTACCCAAAGTCAGGCACTGACTAGGAACTAGCTCGATGCCTGATCAGTAGTCCTGGAAAAGCTTCAGGCTGCTACTCCTTCCCTCAAACTGTGAATCTGTTCAGAGGCTGAAGATGGCTCAGCTCTAGGACTGTGTCTACTGTGACAGTAACTATAATAAAGATTAGGTGCTTGAAATCATGGAACTGCCTGCTTAAGTATGATTAGCTCTAGGAATGGTTGTGTGGGTTTGTATGAAGTAAAAATATCAAGAAACTTTGTAAACAAGTCAGTCCCCCTTTTTATTTTATTGCAAAATGTGCCTCTCTGGACATCCAATTCTACTTGGGTGGAAAGGCCAAAGGACCAGGTGTTTTTTCAGGCTATTCATTGCTATTGGAATGGGATGCCACGAAGTGGGGATCTGCTGGCATACTGGTTCGAAAGGGTCTGCTGATTTTCTCTCTGCTGCCCCTGGCTGCATGATGCTGTTTCTTCCCTTATGTGGCTTAGATGCCTGTATGCTGATTTAACTCACTGAAGCAGCAGAGAAAAATCTACTTTTCTATTATATTTTTTAGATTAGTTTTCTGCCTCTTCAGTAAGATGAATTAGTTAATTGAAAGGCAGAACAAGGCAAGAAAAAAGACCAGATGACTGAAAGTGATATGAGAATGATTTAGGATCCCCCTGATTTGTTTGCTATATCTTACTTGTATGTTAGATATACTCAGCTTGCCTTGTCTTGGAAATTACCCTATAAGCATGATCTGCATGAGTATAGTACCTTGTATGTTGATGTGGAGAAGGTGTTTATCATTGATTCTTCTGAAAACTGCAATGTGCCTAACTTCACATGTGACTTTTCCCTCAGTCCTCTCTTTCTGTGAGGACTGCCCATGTTAGCACAAATCCCTACAGTACCATGTGTATGGATGTGAAAGGAACAGGATTATTTTTACAGACGTGAACATATTACAACATGTACAGCTAAGCAGGCAGGAAGGAATGGGATCCTCATATGTGGAATAGAGTGTTAAGGACAGTAACCTTTTAACCAGAGTATTAACTTTGTCAGAGCCCAAACTTTTGTATACAGACAAAGGTGATGTAATATTCCCAGGAGCTAGAAATTACTTCACCTTAAACACTCCTTCGAGTTTGACTCACAGAGAAAATTACTTCAGGTGAAATATATTTCGAAAACATGAGCAGGAGGATTTTGATTTTATTGCTTCTTTTATTTAAAAGCCATAAATATAAAGCTTATTTCTGTCACTCCAGAAAATCAGTTGGCTTCCATACTGTCACAGAATTGATGTAGAAGATTGCTTCTGGATATCTGTTCAGTGGAAGCACTAGCATTAGAGATTAAAAATCACTAGGTGTTCTTTCCTAAAAGACCCATTCTAATAATTTGATAGGTATTGCTATTTGTGATAGCTTCGGGGAACTGCCATTGTAAAAGGCAAGGAGTCATTGTATCAGCTGAATCTGGGGATGGAGGGCTGCCCCAACAAGGTAGAGGCTCAGTGCTTTTCCTTGCTGACAAACAGGTCTAAAAAGTGCTTTAGAATTAGACCAGTCTGTTGCACAGGCAGCTTGGGTCTTGCTGCTCCCTAACTCTACAGGATGATGGCAATCAGTGGCTAACACTGACATTGAGTGGCAGAGAAACCTGATAATTTGGCTGAACTTTCAGAGAAGATGGGATAATAAGTGAGTTATTTGTACTTCTGCCCATTTAAAGTAGTGAGTGAGTATGGCAAAGAGCTAACAAGTTGAACTTTATCAATAATAAGCCCCCCTCTAGCCCAGATACTTCTTCAGATTTTTCTCTAGAATTGGGAACTAGGGCTGATGAGTACGAGGGCTGAGGCAACAGCCCTGAGCTGTGGAGTGATTTAGAGGAAAGCAGTGGAATTGGCTGTAGCACTGACAAAATAATTTCCACCCTCTGGAAAATATCACTGACTTCCCCTCTGTGTCTATGAGCCAGGAGGAAGTACCCAGAACAATGAGATTAGAAACAGATGGATCTGCTGTTACATTAGGAGTTGGAAATCCTGTTTTTTTCAGTGATTTAGGAAGAGGAATGGAACATTTTTCAAGTTCTTTGCACATGCAGTGTTGCACTGCTATGTACAGCTGATGCACATAAGCCTTTCCCAAATACTATAGACATTAACAACATCTCTCCAGTAACTGAAAGAGAATACAACTTGAGAAAGAATGTCAAGCATTTATAGAAGCAGATAGTTGGAAAACACAAACAGCTTCATCTCGCCAGGTGGCTTGATTGTGTTGACAGGAGAGTAAAGCAGTATGATGCACTTCGTAGTTTGTTCCAGTTACCAGACAGGACTGGTTGGTACTGGCTGAACAGACTGCACCTTTCTTCTGACCAGCTTTTGTCTTTATTCATCCTATCTTTTCTTTCTTTATAAATAGCAAAAACCGGCTCCCTCAAACACCTCCTTTGTACCTCTAACTCGACTCTGAAATACGATTATCTTGCAATGACTGCAAAGTTACTGTCAATAAAAGCAGGAGATTGAAGCAGCAGGAACATAACAGCAGGACAGGACATGCAGATGAGGCTTAGAAAAGCTGTCCTATGGGAGCTCAGAGGAAAAGAGGAGCATGGCAATCTGGCACAGGAGGCACTGCTAATTGTAGTGGAATTGCTAACAGTGGAAGCAGCCTCTACACTTAGGTAGAGTCAGGAAGAAAAAAGTGTCAGGGAACAGGCAAGCAGGCAAGGAAGATGCGGCCACTTTCCTATCTGCACGCCACTTATCTCTTTTGGCCTGACTGTTGTGTATGCAGAAGTCTGCACAGCTTCCTTCCTTTATTGGAGTTGTCTAGGAGAGAGCAGTGGAGGAGTTGTGCCATTATTCAAAATTCCCAGATTAGGCAGTTGCTTTTAGGGGACCAGAACTTTTTTGCTATCCTGTGTATCAACTGGGCCCTTGTTCATCCTCTGTCTTTGCACAGTATGTAGGACACTGCTGCTGAGTCTGTGGGCTCAGAGAGAGATCAGGTGGGGAGATGAATTGAAATACCAGTGTCTGTTGCACCAAAATAATCGCAAGAAGAGTGGAGCAGCAAGTGTCACTTAAACTGAGGTGGAATATCCATCTACCATAGAGGAGAAAGAGATGAATAGCAGAGAAAATGTGAGGAGTTCTCATTCTAAGCAGTGGCTTTCAAAGTGAGTCCTGATGTCCAAATTTCTTTTTGGACCAGATCAGTGTCATCTTGGCTGAATGTCAGCAGTTATTAATATTGGGATTTTTTTCAACTCCTGGTAATCTCCATTCTTCTCTATATTGATAGGGTTTGTGTGCACGATCTAGCGGAGTGCTTAACAGCCAAGATCTTCCTTCAGCTGCACTAGATTTTTACTAATAAAAGGTGATGGTCCTTTTATGATGTGCTAGTCTTCCTCAGCGTATTGCTGACCAGTGCTACTTAACTGGGCCTCCTACATAATGACTGGATTTGGCTTGATTCCTGTTTCTAGCTTTTTTTTTTTTTTTTTTTTTTTTTTTTTTTTTTTTTTTTTTTTTTTTTTTTTTTTTTTTTTTTTTTTTTTTTTTTTTTTTTTTTTTTTTTTTTTTTTTTTTTTTTTTTTTTTTTTTTTTTTTTTTTTTTTTTTTTTTTTTTTTTTTTTTTTTTTTTTTTTTTTTTTTTTTTTAATTTTATTTCATTGGTTTTCAAATCAGTTTCAGAAAGTTCCTGCAGATTTGTCTGTGCACTGTCTGGGTGCTCTTAATACAGTTATCTGAGGCTCACTGATAGTGGTGAGAATCAAACCCCTTTATTTCTCTTGGAAGAAAGCCAAGTAATATATATGTAAGGTGGGAGAGGGATAATGAGGAGACCAACAGCTTAAGTGGTGTGTGCTGACTTCAGATTGTTGGAAACATCCTGCTCAGGTGGCATATGCATTTGATGAAGTCCATGCTTCCAAATGCTGTAACTACCTGTGCATATCAACCCAGTGTAATCTTTTGAGGGTTAATAGCAGTAAATGATCAACTTAGATTTTCCAGATTGTCTGGAGGTTAAATTTCTTTAAATCCCTTTGGGTGGAGGTGAAGCAAGTGCATAGCTTGGACTGTGTGCTGTGATCTGTAACAGGATTTTGCTGGAATACACTAGCATGGGTGGCCTTCAGGAAGGAAGGCAGATGTTTATTGATATGGGGGGAATGCAAGGGGGAGTTGAGGGAAGTTTAAAAATTAACAGAAAACCCCCTCAGCTTTATAATTCCAAAAAAGACCTTTCAGCTGTGACTATCAGTAAGAAAATCAAGAGCAGACCTGCCACAAAGCTTGTGAAAAGCACATAATAGAGTAGTGACACTGGAGCATCCTGAAAGTTGAGCAAAATAAGTTTGCATGCTCAACATTTCAGTACACTTATATTACTAATATGCATAAGGTGAATGTAGCACAGCAGTTCTGCAACCCACCAATGGTGGTGGGTGCTTGGA